GCCAGGACTGGGTCAGGCCAAAGCCAGGAACCAGATGCTTCTTCTGGGTCTCCCACATGGGTGCAGGGGTCCAAGGACTTGGGCCTTCCTCTTTGCTATCCCAGGTTCTTTAACAAGGAGCAGGATCTGAAGTGGAACAATGGGACTTGCACCCATACCCATATGGGATGCCAGCACTGCATGTAGTGGCTTAACCCACTATGCCACAGCATTGGCCCCTCCTGGAAATATTGAGACTTACCTTCAACTTGTTCTTTTAAAACTTGCCACCCCTAGGGAGTCATTAACTGTTTAATATTTTTAATGTAATGTACAAAGTAGCATAACACCCAAAGGGCATTATTGGTATACTAGTTACTTTGAGTTGTTTTTGAGAATCAAGGTCACTTTATTGAATTAATTTACATCTAGAAATCATAGTATCTCCTAATAATATTATATGTGAGATTTCATGAGATAAAGTATTGCATTAAAATCAACAAATAGGGGCTGATGCTGTGGCATCAGCATCCGATAAGGGAGTCAGTTGGAGTCCCAGCTGTTCTACTTCTAATCCAGCTCCCTGCTAACAGCCTGGGAAAGCAGCAGAGGACAGTCCCAGTGTTTGGGCCACTGCACCCATGTGGAGAATCTGAAGAAACTCTTGGCTCCTGGCTTCTTCGGCCCAACCCACTCCTGGCAATTGTGGCCATTTGGGGAGTGAACCAGTGGACGAACAACCTCTCTCTTTCTCTCTCTGGCTCTTTCTGTAATTCTTCCTGTCAAATAAATAAATAAATCTTTTAAAAGATCAGCAAATATATTGAGATTAAATTTAATACTAGTCTAGTTTATAAAACAAAGCCAAGAGAAAGTATTGTTACACAATCTAAGTGATAAAAATATGTAAGGAAAATGTTTTTAGTATGAGATTATAAAAATTATATTGATTATATTAATAGAAAGTATTTTTCCAATGTTAAAAGTTAAATACAGACTTGGTGTAAATTTTAAGTCTCAACATTAAAAATATAAATATCATACATAATATCTTCTCCAAATACAATAGGATGAAATTAGAAACCAGTAACAGAAGCAAAATCGGAAAATGCCAATTTTTTGGAAATCATACAACACACTCTAAACAACTAATGAATCAAAAAAAGAAATCACAAAGAAAATTAGAAACTATCTAGAGAGAAATTGAAATGAAAACCCAACATAACACAACATACAGAATACATTGAAAGAAGTGCTAAAGGAGAAATTTATAGGTATAAATGCTCACACTAAAAAAAGAACAGAGGTCTCACATCAGTAACCCATATTCACAATATGTGGAAGTAGAAAAAGAACAACTAAACCCAAAGGCAATATACAGAAAGAAATAATAAATTTCAGAGAAGGAAACCATGAATAAAAAAAGAGAAAATAAATGATACCAAATTTACTCCTCAAAAAGATCAACAAAAAGACAAACTTTTTACTTACTTACTTACTTACTTACTTACTTATGGTGAACAAGATTCATGTCTTTCATATAATCAGATTTAGGAGCACAGTGATACTTCTCAGCCCACCCTCCCTCCCACCCATGCTCTCACCCTCTCTCCTCCTTCCTTTCTTATTCTTTCTTTTAATTTTTACAGTGATCTACTTCCAGTTTATTTTATACTCATAAGATTAACCCTCCACTAAGTAAAGAATTTAACAAATAGCATTAAGAAGAAAGCACTGTTCCTCAGCAGTAGAGACGACCGCTGTGAACAACCATCCAGGGGGCTGAAAGATGCACTGCTTCCGACTGGGGAAAATAGCAGAAGAAAAGCGGAGGAATCGCGTTTGCAGGGGAGAAGTGGAGAGAAGCTTGCAATGGAAAAAGACAAACCTTTAGCTAGATTATGTAAGAAAAAAGAGGATTCAAACTAATAAAATCACACATGAGAGTGATTGCATTACTACTGATTCTATAGGAATAGATAAAAAGGATTATAAAATCATTATAAACAATTGTTTATAATTGGAAAACCGGATTAGCTAGGGGCCAGCATTAAGGCACAGTAAGTTAAGCTGCTGCGTGTGATGCCAGCATTCCATATCACAGCAACAGCTGGAGATTGCAGCTGCTCTGCTTCCCAGCCAGCTGCCTGCTAACACGCCTTGGAAAGCAGTAGAGGATGGCGCAAACACTTAGAACCTTCCCACTCATATGGGAGATCCAGATGGAGATCTCTCTCTCTATCTTCTCTCTCATCCTGTCACTTTGCCTTTAAATAGATAAAATAAATCCAAAAGAAAAAATAATCCTGGATAATCTAGATGAAATGGACAAATTCCTAAAAACACATATAGTATCAGTCTATTTTCAGTCCCTGTACCAAAATATCTGGGGCTGCATAATTTGTAATACATTTTATCTATTTTATTTTATGATTTTGATTATTTGAAAAGCAGAAGAAAAGAGAAAAAGAGATCTCCCTTTTGCTGTTTAATTCCTCAAATGCCCACAATAGCTAAGATTGGGCTTATTGAACCCAACAGCCTGGAACTGCATGCAGCTTTCCCATGAGTGGCAGGGATCGAGTTCTTGAGCCACTACCTGCTGCTCCGGGATGTGCATCAGTAGGAAGACGAATTAGAATTGAAGTAGTCAAGGGGCCAGCGCTGTGGCACAGTGAGTTAACGCCCTGGCCTGAAGCACTGGCATCCCATATGAGTGCAGGTTCAAGACCCAGGTGCTCCATTTCCAATCCAGCTCTCTGCTATGGCCTGGAAGTGATTGGGCTCCTGCATCCACGTGGGAGACCCAGAGGAAGCTCCTGGCTCCTGGCTTCGGATTAGCACAGCTTGGGCCGTTGCGGCCAACTGGGGAGTGAACCAGCGAATGGAAGACTTCTCTCTCTCTCTCTCTCTCTCTCTCTCTCTCTGCCTCTCCTCTGTCTGTGTAACTCTGAATTTCAAATAAATAAATAAATAAATCTTAAAAAAAAAAAGAATTGAAGTAGTCAAGACTCAAACCAGGTATGAGTGGTGTCACAAGCAGTAGCTTAACATAATGCCTCAAGCCCACCCCTGACGCAGCATGATTTGTGAAGAAAAGAGGCTCATTTAGTGCATAGTTTTGGAGACTGAATATCCAATGTCAAGTGGATCCATCGGTTCATCCTGTTAGGGACTCAAAGTGAATGGCATCAGCATGGGAGTGTGTGTGAAAGGGATTGTGCTGCAAGACAAGGGACCAGACTTGCTCTTCTAAAATAACTCACTCTCATGGGAACTAACTGGAGTACCCAGGGACTACCATAGTATCTTCTGGGGCAGCACTCCCAACCATTTAACTAACCCCACTAAGCCCCATTTCTTAAAGGTCACCACCTCTTAATACCACCACACTGAGGACAAAGCGTCCAACATATGAATCCTCAGGGGACAAACCACATCCAAATCATAGAACCTACCAGGATTAAATCGCAAACAGCAAATATGAATTGATCAATAATTACTTTGGATATTGGATCTGTTATCAAAAGTCTGATAACAACAAAATAAACTGAAGGCCAGTGTTGAGGCTCATGAGGCTAATCCTCTGCCTGAGGCGCCGGCACCTGGGGTTCTAGTCCTGGTCGGGGCACCGGATTCTGTCCTGGTTGCTCCTCTTCCAGGCCAGCTCTCTGCTGTGGCCCAGGAGGTCAGTGGAGGATGGCCCAAGTGCTTGGACCCTGCACCCACATGGAGACCAGGAGGAAGCACCTGGCTCCTGGCTTCAGATTGGTGCAGCGCACCAGCCATAGCAGCCATTTGGGGAATGAACCAACAGAAGGAAGACCTTTCTCTCTGTCTCTCTCTCTCACTGTCTAACTCTGCCTGTCAAAAAAATTTAAAAAAATATACTAGAGCACATGACTTTATTGATTAGTTATATTAAATATTTAAATATGAACTAACATCAATCCTTCTCAAATACTTTCTAAAATCAAAGGAGATGGAATGTTTTCTGTTCTAAAACCAGACAAGAACACTACAAGAAAAGAAATCAACAGAACAATAAGTCTTGTGAACAGTAACACAAAAAACTTCAACGAAAGACAAACAGATCCAACCAAAGAGATCTAAAGTATGTATTTTGTACTGCAATGGGTGTTTATGCCTGGACAATTAAGTGTTTTACAAATTTCTGAAATTATGTGAACTTATTTTTCTAAATATGATGCTAAATACCCTTCACACAGGTAAAAAAGAATTCCCAAAACTCAGAAACATAACTATGCATACTGGAATACCACTTGGTCATCAAAAGGATGAAATCTTGTCGTTTGAAACAACAGGAGTGAAAGAAAATGTCATAATATTAAGTGAAACAATCCAAATAAGCCAGATCTCATTCATGTGGAATCTAAAAAGTTGAACTCACAGAAGAGTATAATAGTGATTATCCAAGATGGCAAAGAGTACGGAAAACATTTAACACATACTAACCTACACTCAGATAGAAGTAACAAGTTCTGATGTTCTATAGAACAGTAAAGTGACCATAGATACAGATATTATACTGTATGTTTCTCTAAAAAAATAAAATCAACTGAGGCCCCGATGTGGTGAGTGGAGTAAGCTGCCACCTGCAAGTCCGGCATCCCATACGAGTGCTGGTTCCACTCTGATCAAGCTCCCTGCTAATGTGCCTGCAAGGGCAGCAGAGAATGGCCCAAGTACTTGGGGACCAGCACCCACATCGGAGACCCAAATGGAGTGCCTGGCTCTTGGCTTCAGCCAGGTCCATTTCTGGCCCTCGCAAACAACTGGGAAGTGAGCCAGTAGATGGAAGATTCTTTCTCTCTCTCTCTCTCTCTCTCTCTCTGTCTGTCTCTGTCTCTCTCTCTCCCCCACTCTGTAACTGCCTCTCAATTAAATCTTTTAAAAAAACTAAATAACAAAATAAAAAACAACAACAACAACAAAACTCTAAGAAGTTATTTTGATTGCTTTTTTACCCTAAAGAAATGTTAAAAGTTTGAAGAGCTGGATATGTTTGCCCATATTGGATATTTCACATGATATATATGTATCAAAAAATTTTGTGGCATCCCCTAAATAAAACATTTTTTTTTAATTTTTTACTTACTGATTGTATTTGAAAGACAGAGATAGATATATCATACAGAGATCTCCCATCTGCTGGTTCACTCCCCAAACTCTTGCAAGTGCCATGGCTGGACCAGGTTGAAACCAGGAGCCAAGAACTTAATTGATATCTCCCTGTGGGTGGAGGGGACCTAACTTCTTAAGCCCTCATCTGCTACCTCCCAGGGTGCACATTAACAGGAAGCTGGAATCAAGATCAGAGCTGACTCATAGCTTAATAGTCTGATATAGGATGCAGGTATTCTAAGCAAAATCTTAACCACTATACCAAATGCCCACATCAATATGTGCAATTTTTATATATAAGCTAAAAGGTTTTTTGAATAATAAAAATAAACTTAACAACAAGATAAAAGAAACAGTTTAAAAAATTGGCAAAAGAGTTGAATAGACATTTCTCCAAAGAAGAAATACAAATGACTAATAGTCACATGGAAAGAAACTTAACATCATTAATCATTAGTACAATCAAATCATTAGTACAATCAAAAGTACAATTATTTTGTGTTACCTTATACCCATTAAGATAGCTAGTATTAAAAAAAAAATCAGGGGTGGCTATTTGGCATAGTGATTAAGCCACCACCTGGGTTGTCAACATCCTATATCTTAGTACCTCAGCTCAATTCCTGGCTCTGCTCCGAATTACAGTTTCTTGCACACCGTGGGATGGCTTGAGTAGTTGAGTCCCTGACACCAATGTGGAGACCTAGATTGTGTTATAGGCAACTGACTTCAACCTGGCCCAGCCCTGGCTATTGCAGGCATTTGAGTAATAAACCATCAAATGGAAGATCTCTCTTTGCCTGTCTCTGTCTCTCTGCCTTTCAAGGAAATAACCAAAAATATACAGCATGCAGAAAAATATTGGCTAATTTTATTATTGCAGTTCTATACTACTAGACTGTATGAATAAGATGAGCTATAAACATGCTAGGGTAAATGATTACATTAAAAGAAAAGTAATTAGGAGTGGACAATGTGGTACAGATTCACTATATCAATTATCAGGGGATTAGGCACAGTTATTGTGTCTTATTTGAATAATCATGCCAAAATTAAAACAAATGGAACTAACTGTAGGCTATTGGTTAATTAGTAACCAAATAGCTGCATTTTTTAAACTTCTGTCAAGTGAGTTTTGATGGTTTTCAAGTAATGCCATTGCAACTCTATTGACATGCATAAAGAACTGAAATGAACTATTTGATAAATAATTTTGCAGACATCAGAAAGTCTACCCTGTGATGACTGGAGTCTATTTAATACCATAAATTTAATTGAGAAACCTGGTGTATGGGCTATTGAGACTGATGGACATGTCAGTAGGATGAGAAGGCTGTTAATATTAAAGCATTACACCTTGTTTATTTTGCATCCTGGACCTGGCATATAAGGAGAAAATTCAAGACCTGAAGGACAAAATGTCAGATGTTAGTTACTACCAACTGAGTTCCAATCCCTCAGGCCTCTGGTTGCACAGTTAATCCCCATTATTTTCTTTAACCCAAGAGAGCTATATACTATATAAGTTTATTATAACTTTACTTCAAAGCTAAAGAATATTTTTTATCTATTTTGGGGATGTTTTTACACATTTAGTTATGCCAGTCTATAATATACACTTTCCTTTCAGAAAATGTGCCTTTTAGAACACTGCCAACTAGTAAAAATTACCATCTGGTCATGTGAAAAGCAGATCCTTCCCCTGTTTTCTCCTTTGAGCTCACCCCCACTCCACTGAGGATTAGATTCTTCACATACTTCTAAAGCTTTGACTCAAGGTCAGAGAGAAATAAAATATTGCACTTTTTTTCCTAAGTAAAAAGAGCTGAGTCGCGTATACTCTACACTACTGTACACTTAAGCTTTCTCATTAAATTAAAAATTGGAATCTAAAACATCTAGGGCAACCTCTTCCTGATTACTGATGACAAAATGATTTTGTTTGACTCAACTGCATTTTTATTGCATTAGAAATGCACAGCATATAACCTTCCTCACTTTATAGGCTCTAGGAGAGTATCTGGCTTTAAGCTGGAAAACATTTCCATCAAATTGCAGCTTAAATTAAGCTAATTCTATCATTTCCAGAGTAACCAGTGCGTGCTACTTATGAAGGTCACAAGACCTGCTTTCCCTCCTAATCTTAAATTCTGAGGACTTACATAGGTACATTAAAATGCTCTTAAGCTGATTAGATTTGCTGGCAAGGTTGAAAGGTGACTAGCAGACAACTTCCATAGTCAAGTGTCAAAAGCTCTATCAAACTTTTGCATTCATCCTGAGAAGGCAACACCATTGATTTATTGTGCAAAATACAAGGTGTGATTTAAATTATAAGTGTCAGATAGCAGCATACTTGGTCCCATGTTCACTTATAAACTGAAAGACTTCCATTTTCAAAACTAATGAAAATAATGTTGTTTCAGTTTGTTTTAGTACTTGCTTCATATTCAACATTCATACTTAATGTTAAATGAAATAATTTATATAAAATGTAACACACTTCTCACATGTAATAGACATACAGTGTTTAATATGATTATTTGCAAATATTAATAATCAAAAACATTTGTTTAGTATATGCAATATAACGGTCACTCAAGATTTATATGTGACACATTTCAATATTCACATTCCCTTTGTAAAATTGGAGAAATTGGGAGACTTAACAAAATAATTAATTTGACTCCTTCAGCAATTAAGTGTCAGAAACGATTCACATACAAGATGGTATGATTTCCTTTTCTGTAGCTCTTCACCAGGATTTAAAGCTCTCTAAAATATTTCTGTAACACACATGAGTTTTTGTCTTCATTTTATCTCACATTAAAAAAAAATGATGCTTCCTGGTAGCAAATACAATCTGCTCATTAATACCTAATACTGAAATTTAAAGGTTTGGTGAATTATTGATCTAATTTCTATATTATTATATAAGAGTTATTAGCCATCTTTTTCCTGGAGCACAAAATATTTTATCTAATTACTGACATGCTAAAAACAGCTACTGAAACTCTTTTCTATGTAAAACAAAAATATGCCTATTAATACATGTTACATCATTATGTACCTTATAGTACAGGTTTATTAATTTCCTTACTAGCAATGTCTGTCCTCACACTAATGCTAGTTTGAATAGGTCCCCCAAAAGTGGATTGGCGACTTAATCCTCAAATTGACGGTATTTGGAGGTGAGACCTTTGGATGAGTTAGGACTAAATAAATTAATGAGGGTGGGGCCCCCATAACGACGTTAGCATCCTTACAAGAGGAGGAAGAGTTCTGAGTCCTAGCACGCTTGCTCTGTCTTCTCCATGTGATGCCCTCTGAAATGATATGACGTAAAAAGAAAGTCCCCACCAGATAGCAAGCAAATGCCAGCACCACGCTCAGGCGCTTCCCAGCCTCCAGGACCAGGAGCCAAATTCATTTCTATTATTTATTAAATTATCCAATCTTAAGTATTTTGTTATGGCGAGAAAGTGGCCTAAGGAAACTTCCTAGCTTATCTTCAGAAAATAGTGAGAGAAATGGTAGGGGAGAAGTTATTAGTAGAAAAGTAAGGAGAGTCTATACAGGTATCTGTATTGCACTGGGACTTTATATGCTTATATAATTTATATCAATAGTAAGGTTCAGTCCAGCTTTGTATATCTGTAAACATAGAAACTCACCACGTTTTGTGTGAAAATAAGCTACTAGTCTTTCCATAGCCATGGATACTAGTGCTTGGAATGTGCTGGAAAATAAATACTAGGCAAATTTGAGGTGAATCATCCACTTCTATTGGTTGTACCACAGTTTTTGTAAGTATAAGAGAAGACATAAAGATAATTTTACAGTCATATGCATTTGGTTCTGGGTGAAAGATACATTCAAACACCCCCATGGATGCTTTCAGAGGAGGTTAACGGGATAACAATTGGTGATCTGGAAACTCTAAACATGTGTAAGTGCTGCCTTTTTCATGGGCTGATACTGCTCTGACGGCAGGAGGGGTGTAGGAGGAAGGCTCCCAATCCACATGCTCTTAAAGGCTGCATTTGAGGTTTTCTGAGATTTCCTTTGATAAACAAAACATAAACATTTCCTTTATAAAATCCCCAAGACCTTTGCCATTTGGAAATCTGGAAAGACAGAACTTCCATTGATATTATTTTCCATTTAATTAATAGGAACATAAAATATCCACTAGTGTTCGATAAGTGTCTACAACTTGAAAAATGTCTCTTATTTATATTTAAATTGAATTATTATTTAGAATTTATAGCATTCTCCAAGCCTCTATGTGTATCTTTAGAAAGTAGAATTTCTCGAAAACCAGTGTGAGAAATAAAACTATACAACTCAAGATAGGATTAAATGACATGTATTCCAAATATTGGATTAAAGGATACCAACATTATCTCTACAAAATGTCTACTTTGGAAGAAATTAGGAATTTAACTAAAAATAACGATAGCTCTAAAGTCTCAAGAAGAAGCAGAAGATTCCTATTAATCATTGTAATTTGAATTTTGGAATGTTAAGGTTTGTGAGAGGGACTTAATTTAGAAATGAAAGGGAGGCAGGAAGCACAGGAGGAATCCACTTTGTTTTGGACCTCTAATAGGCAAGGCATTTTTAACTGATTATGTCTTAAGTCTTCATTAGCAACTGCAACAATTCTAAACCAAAAGAGAGTTTCCATGGGCACCCATTAGATAAGAAAGTGAAGGAATCTGTCCTCAGAAGTAGCCTGAATTTGCAGTCACTTGCTAGATGAACTCACAGGTCTTGTATTTCAAAACCACCAATAATTACCTATGCCTACCTCCATTCGAGCCTGCTTAGTCAAAGATATTTTATCAACATCTCTCCTTTCTCTCTTGGATGAGAGCATTAGCATATCATTATGTAAACCCATTATCTTATCTAAATACACTCTATATGAGTAATCTACACTCCTGCCCTTAGCCTTCACGCCCCTCACTGCCTCACATCTGTCTTGCTCTCACAATACTTCCTGAAGGTATTCTCTACTGCTCACACCTGCATTTCTTGTGCTCTGGTGCTTTTGAGCCCATTTTTCTGGTTTGCCTTTGTTTTCCCTGGTCCAGTGAAGCCTCTTTTATCAGTGTCACCACAGCACCAGGCTGCCAAATGTGCTGTCACTTCCACATCCCCATGGTATTGAACTTAGCTTCAACAAACATGAACTAGAATCTGAACATCACCTTCTCTTGAAATTCCTGCTCTATGTTCCTCACTTCTCCATAGCCATAGCTAAATCCTCATTATAATTTTGACTACTAAAGGTGGGCGTGTTCCAGGAATTAATTCTCAGAAATCTACATTCACCTAGTAAGAAATTTCATCCAGTATGATAGTGTGTCAGTTGTTGATATAGCACATCAACCCAAAGTTGGATGGTTTAAAAATTTGAGTATTGCTGGCGCCATGGCTCAATAGGCTAATCCTCCACCTGCGGCGCCGGCATTCCAGGTTCTAGTCCCGGTTGGGGCGTCAGATTCTGTCCTCGTTGCCCTTCTTCCAGGCCAGCTCTCTGCTGTGGCCCGGGAAGGCAGTGGAGGATGGCTCAAGTCCTTGGGCCCTGCACCCGCATGGGAGACCAGGAGAAGCACCTGGCTCCTGCGATCGGATCAGCCCGGTGCGCCTGCCGCAGTGGCCATTGTGGGGTGAACCAACGGAAAAGGAAGACCTTTCTCTCTCTCTGTCTCATTCTCACTGTCCACTCTGCCTGTCAAAAAAACAAACAAGCAAACAAACAAACAAAAAAACTTGAGTATTGGTTCTGTTTATCTGAGCTGCAAGCAGCTTATAGCATACGCATCTCTGTATAGCAGAGTGGTCTTGTGGCCACTAGCTGATCTATTTTAGTCTCTGCCGAGAGACTTCATCTCTGCTCTGGAATATGTCTCCTCTCCAGAAGGACAGCCATTGCAATCTCATGGGAGACAGCAAAAGAACCAGTAAAGAAGCAGACACTCATTAACACTGATCGACGGGTCAATGTACAGAGTTGGCTCCATTTCAGTCCGGCTCCCTAACAAGATGTAAGCAGCTAACAGAATGTCACAGTTCTGTGGTAAAACTCCATTTTAAAGAGGTGACTGAGGTAAACAACTTCTCTGCTTATAGTCAATAAACTCATTTCACTTTATGTTTCCAATAGGTGGCAAAGATGTCATGGAAACTTAAATGTGTCTTAATTGCAACAAAAAGTATTATGACTGTGGAAAGTTCTGATTAATGGTTAACTCTTAAGGACTGGTTTGATTAATTACTTGCATAGCAAATATTTCATATTAAATATCTGTAACTATCACATCTACTTTTTACTATTATTTTTTAAAAGATTTATTATTTGAAAGTCAGAGTTACACAGAGAGAGAAGGAGAGGCAGAGAAAGAGAGAGAGAGAGGGCTTCCATTCTCTGGTGCACTTCCCAACTGCCCAGAATGGCTGGAGCTGGGCAGGTCTGAAGCCAGGAGCCAGGAGCTTTTTCCAAGTCTCCCATGTGGATGCAGGGTCCCTGGGATCTGGGCCATCCTCCACTGCCTTCCCAGGCCACAGCAGAGAGCTAGATCAGAAGAGGAGTGTCTGGGACTTGAACTGGCACCCAAATAGGATGTCAGCACTGCAGGAGGTGACTTTACCCGCTATGCCACAGTGCCGGCCCCTCTCACATCTACTTTTAAAAATTTCAGGTGGCTTTTAATTTTTAATTTTTTAAAATTTTATTTTAATAGATTCAACATGATTTGTAGATATGATTCTAAGAACATAATGATATTTTGTAAACTTTTGCTTCATTTTTCAAAAATTATTGCTAGTTTGCTGTATTTTAATATAGTAAAACATTTTGTCTATCAAAATACAGCTGAAATATTAAATATCAATATCAATTACATATGTTAAATTCAAAAATTAAAAGAAAGACATTGGTTTTTAAATACTAGCTAACAAAATAATAGAAAATGTTTACAGAATATTTTCTGCATTTCAGACATGGGTTTTAAATGACTGACTTTATTAGCAAACCGTCCATTATTTTTCTCATTAGCCATAGAAAAAAACAGACACAGAGAGGTGAAATACTTTAATCAAAGCCAATCAGATTTTAAATAGAGGGATCAGGATTCAAGGCAAGCTGTTATTATGAACTACAATGGTCTGTTCCCTATTTAGGATGTTTAAATTTAGCATATTTCAGGGCAGCCATTTGGGGCAGTGGTTAAGACGCTGCTTGGGACATCGACATCCCATACTGGAATGTCTGGGTTAGAATCCCAGCTTTGTTTGCCTTTCCAGCTTCCAGCTAATGCAACCCCTGAGAGGTGGCAGCTGATCACCCAGGTAGCTGGGTGTCTTCCACCCACATGGCAGACATGGGTTGAATGGCCAGTACCTGGCTTTGACCTGGCCCACCACTGGCTGTGGCATGAATTTAGGAAGTGACTAGTGGATGGGAGATCTATCTCTTTCTTTTTTCCTCTTTCTATCTTTTAAATAAAGTGGTGTTTTAAATTTTAGAATAGTCACGTAATTACTATTGCTGATTTTGTATATAACATTATATATCATTTTTATGTGTAATATATCCATGTTTTTCAAAAATTGGAATATATTTCAACTAATGTTATATTTTTTAACTTATGGATGTCTTTCCATAATGTTAGTATTAGGATAAGCCTCTAAATTGACAAAGTCAATGAGAAAAAATGCTAAAGTAATCACCATAATTACTCAGTTTTTATAATCATTCTTCTTATATACAAGAATGTCTCAATGATTGCCAAATATATCGAAAATTAGAAATAGTAGAAATAATCAATAAGATAAATAATATAAAATATGATCTATCTTCATCACTTTAATTTTTATACTTCTTTGAAAAGAGTCAACAGGGGCTGGCGTAGTGACATAGCAGGTAAAGCCATAGCCTGAGATGCTAGCATCGCATTTGGGCCCCTGTTCAATTCCCCACAGCTCCACTTTCCATCCAGCTCCCTGCCAATGGTCTGGGAATGCAGCAGACAATAGCCCAAGTACCTGGGCCCCTGCACCCATGTGGGAGACCCCAATGAAGTTCCTGGCTCCTGGCTTCAGCCCAGCCCAGCTCTGACTGTAGCAGCTTTCTGGGGAGTGAACCAATGGATGGAAGACCTTTTTCTCTCTCTCTACATTGGACTTTCAAGTAAATAAATAATTTTTTTTACAGGTAGAGTGGACAGTGAGAGAGAGAGAGACAGAGAGAAAGGTCTTCCTTTTTCCGTTGGTTCACCCCCCAATGGCCTCTGCGGCCGGCACACCACACTAATTCGAAGCCAGGAGCCAGGTGCTTCTACTGGTCTCCCATGGGGTTCAGGGCCCAAGGACTTGGGCCATCCTCCACCGCATTCCCGGGCCACAGCAGAGAGCTGGACAGGAAGAAGAACAACCGGGACAGAATCCGGCACCCCGATCTGGACTAGAACCCGGGGTGCCGGCGCCGCAGGCAGAGTATTAGCCTATTGAGCCGTGGCGATGGCCAATAAATCTTAAAATAAGAGTTAACAGTACGTGATGAAGTATACACATCAATATGGTAACTTCACTCTTTTCAAATGCCTTCATGAAATACATTTATCTTCTTAGATCTGTACCTATGAAATATATGAAATCTGTTTTTTTTTAAATGGAACTAGCATGCCTATGCTCACCTTTTAAGATATATTTACAATCTTCAATATTAAATAAATCCAAATAATCACTCTAACTCTTATATAATATGCTAGAATGAAAGAGTTATTAGGAGAGAAAAAGAGTTACATTTTCAAAATGGAGAGGGTTCCTGCTCTGAAACCAAACATAAGAGAAGCAACTTCATACTTCTACAAGTAACAATTTGATCTTCAGTTAAATATCTGTGAGTAATTTGAGGTCAGTATTTCTTGCAAGCTTTTAAGTTCATTACATGCACATTTGCTTAGTAGTTTTCTTTTTTCCTTATGTTTGATAGAAGCCTGTATTAGGATCTACCACGTTTCTGGTCTGTTCTCACTTTATAGGATAAAGTGA